TCAGAGATGCCACAGACACAGATATTCTGGTGGCACTCCCTGTTTTCAAAGTCTTCCTGCTGGCACTGCAGCTGAGACACGGAATGTTTCAGAGTCACATTATCCTCTTCCAGGACATGGACATATTGCACCAATTCATCAAACTTAGACTCAAGGTGGTCTGTGCCATCTCTCAATTGGGTAATCTCCCCCCTAAGCTACTGGGCCAACTTCCCAATTTCAACAGATATGGTGCAGGTGATATTGTGTGAAAATACTTGCAGTTTGTCTTCCAGGATATCCACTGTCAAAGAAGGGACCACCGGAGTAGAAAGCAGGGCAACAGGAGCTTCTGCGTCTGTCCCCTCCATGTCAGTGGATCCTCCGGAGCACTCACTTGGACCGCCGCAAGGCTGGGGATGCAGGCCTATTGAAAATCGATCTAGCATGGAGAGCCGGGGGTCCGGAGGAGGCAGCATGGGTGGCTTCCAATGCCAGATTTTACCCATGTGGGTGCCTGATAGTGTGTGGGAGAGCTCTCTCGGATCTGTGATGGCTGCAGAGGATGAGTGGGAGAACTGAGGGTTAGCAGAGCTCAGCTCTCATGCGTCCGCCATCTTGGATCGCTGCGCTACTATACGCTTTTTGGCATTGGTCAGGATCCACTTCAGATTCAGAAGGGGTGATTTTAACAAATCCCTCCTCCAACATGAACTGTGGTGGATCTGTCTCAACACCACTGAACCCCTGGCCTCAATGAGGCCTTTAACTTAAAACCATTTCTTGAGGACTTCAGATCGGGTGGATGTGAATTAAATATGTGATTACAGTAATTGATAGTGATCCACATAGGGGCCTTTTTTCACTGTATATTGCTGGTTAGATCTCTTGCATGTACATGTATGTGTTATGGGGTATGTGTTGTCATAATTTCCCTGTGCATTATTTCTGTAAATGTTTGGACATCTCTGTATATGAAATCAAAATATTGTGTGTATTTGAACATCCCACATCTACACATCATGCTCTCTTCATATGTATGCACATGCCTCCTTATTAACCACTTCAATACTGGGCACTTTTACCCCCTTCCTGCCCAGGCCAATTTTCAGCTTTCATTGTTGTCGCACTTTGAATGACAATTGCTCAGTCATGCAACACTGTACCCAGAAAAAATGTTTTATAATTTTTTTTTCACACAAATAGCGCTTTCTTTTGGTGACATTTAATTACCACTGATAATTAATAATACCTCGGTAACCTTACAACCATGAAATACCCCCCCTCATCAACCCATAAAGAAAGTGACACTTTCACCCTTGAAAGTAAATATAACAATATTATACCTTTCTTCCAAACTCCAACAAGTAAGATTGCAACCTATCCCAACCACCTAAATAAATATTCTAGATCCCAAATATATACAATAAATAATTTCATAAATGAATAAATCAATAAATAAATGATGATGGTAATAAAAATTATGATAGGATTAAATAATCCCAAAATAATAAATAAAAATAAAATTATAATAAAATAAATATCAAAATGTAAATAAAGTAGTCCAAACAATACAATAGTCCACCAAAAAATGTATAGTCCAGTAGGTTGACCTTCCAATTCCTATTCCAATCCTCGTGATACCTCAAAAAAAAAAAAAACTTACAATAGCGTATTACCTTCTAAATCATAACCTTACAAATACCTTACTCATGTATAAATGTATCCGTGCAGACAATATATAAGTGCACAAACTCAAATCAGATTCAACTGTGAATAACACGTGAATCATGCAACAAAAATAATTTTACCGTGAATATTCAACAATATGTGAAAATCTAGTGAAAAAAAAAAATACCAGGCTTAGAATAACTATAAATAATTCCAATATTAAAATTTTAATAATTATCAAAAAACAGTAAATGAGTGAAGCAAATCAAATATATAAGTGAGCACTTCAATTTGTATAGTGAGCACTCCGTGGCCACCTCCAAATAGTGAGATTACATACTATTACCCTCAGGTAGTAATCACAAGCTTGTCTGGATAATCCTGGTAAATATACCACTTTCAAACTTCCATTTTACTTCATTTCTCCATCCTCCATATTAATCATAAAGCAAAGGAGACTTATGAGATAAGTGTATTCAAGTATAAAGAGAATTTATTAGATATCTTACATTAAGGTGCAAGAGATTCAGCTACAGTATATGCCCAGCAACCAGCCTCAATGTCTCTCTGGATAGGAAACCCACGGTTTCCCATATTCAAAATGGCCACGGTGACACTTCCAGTTTTGAGTGCGTGCATCAGACGTCATGTCCACTTACGTGTTTCGTCACTTCCGGACTTCTGCTTTTGACAGGACGTCATATGACGCCCAGTCACAACGGTGTGTATCCCTGCCGTGAATCTGCTATAGGCCGGGCGGGAAGGTGTTAATATCATTAATTACAAATTTTTTTATGATTTGAGGTATTTTTTTCTTTTACAATCTGCAGTGGTCTTTTTAATTATCTCCCCCTTTCGGGTTTGCTGTCCAGCGTGTGAGGGTCCCTTTCAGTGTTGTGGGTTCTCCCTTCCCCCAGGGGGAACCATTTAGGTTATCTGGCTTGGTGGAGGAGTCTTTCCGCCCGGTTTCCGGGCGATGGACTTGTCCCCTTTGCCCACGTCTGCCTCGGCGTGATTGCCATCCTGCACGCGCTGGAGGTGTGGTTGTGTGTGCCACCCTCGCGCACCTGTCTAGAGTGGCAGAGCCACGCGCTGCCATGTCTGGGGATCCCAGATCACATGGCGCCATGTTATGCACCTGTGTGGTTAGTTGTGTGTCCGCTCCCAGAAACATCACTGGCCAAATTAGAGGCCTCCCTACTTCTATAATATCTACTACTCATTTATTCTATGACTTCCTTGCTGAGCATACCTCTGTTGTGACTGTCATGACTAGATATACCCCAGTTGCTTTTTGCTCTACTGGGATACCCTGTGACACAGATGTATACTTTTTGTGGACACCATTCACTCTATCTCAGTTGCCATATGTTTTATTGGGATACTTTGTGATATAGACATATACTTTTTTCTGACACAAGTTAGCATTTTGTTTACTATGCGCTCTACAAATGTCAGCTATATGATACAATTTCTGTGGATTTAGTCCATCGCAACATTTTTATTTTAATATGACCTATCATAATATTAAAAAAAAACCTTAGTCTGTATCTCAATATATATGATTACTGGTTTGGTGTGCCAAACCTTAGGCTGACCATACATTATACAATTTTCTGTCCAGTTTCTGCCCAATTTCCTTTAGATTTACCTTCAACTCTGTAGTGTAAGAGACTGCCTAATTGGATACAACAAGTGTTGTTAGTTTTGACCTCCTATTATATGGTTTTTGGTAAATCTAAACCAAAAATCTCAAGAAAATTGTATATAATGTATGGCCAGCCTAAGTTGATGCTTATACTTCACATGACTGGGTATCCAGATGACATGGTGCAATGTAATGCACCTGTGTGGTAGGTGTGTGTCTGCTCCTAGAAACATCATTGGCCAGATTAGAGGATATCTTCCTTTCCGTCTAACTATATCTTCCCTTCCCCCTACTCAGTCATTTATTCTATGACTTCCTTGCTGAGTATACCTCTGCTGTAACTGCTATTCTGCTATGACCAGGTACTTTTAATTTTTTTTCACTTTACCCCAGTTGCTCTTTTCATTACTGGGACACTCTGTGACATAGATGTATATTCCTTGTGGACACCATCCACTTTATCCCAGTTGCCTTATGCTTTATTGGGATACTTTGTTGACCTAGATATATACACTTTGCTAATCATAAATCAAATATGCAGCGCTGGGAAAAGATGGTAAACCAGTATGGCTCGTAAACTCTGATTTATGTGAACAAATGTGATCACCATAAAAGGTGCCAAAGTGACGTGATAATGTCCACGTTATAGCAACTGCTGCTAATAAGATGTTATTCCAAAAAAGTGACAATGGTGATGAGTCAGTATAACTGGATAGAAGAAAATAGTGCTCGGTGTTCTGTGACTTCAACTCACTGGTGTAAAAATCTGGTACAATAATGCACTTACCAGAAGTACATATAATTAGGGCATTATATGTATAGCATATCCGTGGCGGCATCTAGGTCTGGTCAGTAGTTACGATGGCATCCGGCACTATGGTAGACACTCAAGAATGGAATGACACACACTCGAGGGTCACCTCAGGCTCACCGGTACGTCCAATGCAGTCCAGATTCCTAATTGCACTTTCCAGAAGGCTCCACCTTGTGAGGCTCGCAAAGAACGAGCCAGGGGGCAAAATAGTGCTGATAGTGTAGTATGTTTTATTAATACAAAGAAGATCCAGATAAACAATGATAGAACTCACATGAAGCATCACATGGCCACCAGGCCTTATTCACAGGCTCAATGGTGGCTTAAGGCATCAATCTGATGGGTTCCCCTGACATGTTTCGTGCAACCAGCATGTTTTCAAAGGGGTGAAATCCATCAAAAGGACGCCAGCTAAATAGATATGGCCGCGCATGCGCAGAAGCCTCCACGCGCCGCCATGGGTGATGGCCGCATGCGTGAATGACGTCACATGCTGCAGTCCGCGTCACCCGCTGCGTCACCCGCAAGACCACGCCCCCTTATGCCAGTGCGTATGCGCGGGGGCAGACGAGGAATACAGGGTGATGACATGTCTCTGTATTAACAGAGACATGTCTTAAAGAAAACAAATAGCAACATTTGTTTAACCACCTTCCGCCCGCCCTATAGAACAATGACGGGCGCAAGGTGGTTCTCTCGTTCTGATAGGATTTCGTATGACGTCCTACCATTCTCAATGCACATGCGCGGCTCAGGGAGTGGGCAGCGCGGCGATCGCCGGTGCGCTGTGTCCCTCGGACACAGCAGATCATGGAAAGAGCCGAAGATGTCGGCTCGGTCATGTGATCAGCTGTGTCCAATCACAGCTGATCACATGTAAACACGGAAATGCCGGTTATTGGCATTTCTCTCCTCTCGAGCTATCACGCTAACAGCTCGAGAGGAGAGGAGAGATGGTAATCGGCTTTCCGCGGAGGGGGCATGTACACTGATAATCAGGGCACTGGTGATCAGTGTGCCCTGATAATCAGTGTGGCCCCAGAAGTGCCACCTGTCAGTGCTCAGCAGTGCCATGTGCCAGTGCCCATCAGTGCCACATCAATGCCACATATCAGTGCATTTCCAGTGCACATCAATGCCACATATCAGTGCCCATCTGAGCTGCCTTTCAATGTCACCCATCAGTGCCAGTCAGCGCCACTTATCAATGCCAATCAGTGCCACCTATCAGTGCCAGTCAGTGTCGCCTATCAGTGCCGCCTATCAGTGCTGCCTATCAGTGTCATGTATCAGTGTCATGTAACAGTGCTGCCTTTCAGTGCCCATCAGTGATGCCTGTCAATGCCCATCAGTGCAACCTACCAGTGCCTCCTCATCAGTGCCACCTATCAGTGTCCATCAGTGCAGCCTATCAGTGCCCCATCACTGCAGCCTCATTAGCGCACATCAGTGAAGGAGAAAAATCACTTATTTACAAAATTTTATAACAAAAACGAAGAAAAAACATTTTTTTTTTTTCAAAATTTTCAGTGGTTTTTGGTTTGTTTAAGAAAAAATAAAAATCCCAGAGGTGATTCAATACCACCAAAAGAAAGCTCTATCTGTCTCAAAAATGATAAAAATTTCATATGGGTACAGTGCTGCATGACCCGCGCAATTGTCATTCAAAGTGTGACAGCGCTGAAAGCTGGAAATTGGCCTGGGCAGGAAGGGGGTATAAGTGCCCTGTAGGTTAGTGGTTAAAGAAAAAGGGGTTAAAGGAACTGCCGAAATCCTGTGACCAAATTAATAAAGGAAAACGGGGCATGTTAACATTATGCACAATCATGTCTCTAATATGGAAATGCGAACTCCATTTTGTTGTAGTCCCTGTTCTGAGGAGATGGAAATCAAACCTCAGTTGGACGGCATATAAAGGCATTCTTTTCACCATACATAGTAGAAAAGCTGCCAATTTAACAGACCAGATCAGTTAATAAATATAAAATATAAAAAACAAAACCCCACAAGTGTTGATATTAAAATATGTGAACCCAAAATGCATAGTAACAATAAATTATCATATGGTAATATAAAATTGCACAACTAAGAACAATATATAATTATATAAAAAATATCAATACATAAAAGTTCGAACATGTATACATCAGACCACAATAAAAGGTAAGGTTTTTGGTTTAAAGAAGAATCACCTTAAACGATAAAATCAGCATGATCATAAAAACAATCCATATGTAATAATGAGTGATGAGCACGGTTATGCTACCTATCTCACCCTCTAAAAAATAAATAGATAATATATATAAATATAACTCACAACAACAAGGATCTTAAAACCAAACCATTAATGTAAAACCTATGGATTTGGTAAAATAAAACCAGTAAAAGGGATTGCATGGAATAGGATAAAACAGGATAAAAGGAAATCAACTGTTATCAATAAAACAATTTATATCAAGATCCACGTTAAGGCCATGGGGGGACAAAGACTTTAATTCCACAATCCATTTGGTCTCGAGTTGGGATACTGCCCTTCTCTTATGTCCCCCTCTCCAATGTTGCGTAATCATATCAATAGCTGTAAATTTCAGTAGTGTGGGATCCTTGGCATGGTGATCCCTAAAGTGCTTGAAGAGCGAGTGGTCCCTAAGGCCCTTCTTGATATTGTTATAATGCTCCCTTAAGCGATCCCTCAAGCGTCTTGTGTTCTACCCACATATTGCAGCTTGCATGGGCATTCCAAAAGATAAACTATGTGTGTGCTATTACATGTAATAAGTGGATGTATTATATAGCCTTTGCCTGTTATACTTGATCTAAATTCCCTAACTTTACTCTTATGAGAGCCATTGAACCGACAATGCACTTATTACATGGATAAAATCCCTTGAGACCAAAGGATGATGACATATTTCTAGGTGGATCAACCACATTGGGAGCCACTGTAAGTCTAAGTGGGCGGGGCTTTTCTGAAAGTGATCTCGGGAAATTCAGGTAACACTCCCCCAATATTGGATCACTCTTTAAAATAGCTCAATTTTTCTTGATAATTTTTGTCACATCCCTCTATTGAATGGAAAAATCAGTTATAAAGGGACAAAACCTTTCTGGTTTTATTTTCCTCTCTGATGTAAGTCCAACCTATCAAGTTGCCCAACTTAATAGTCTGATTTAAAACATCTAGGTCATATCCTTTTTCTGTAAACCTGGTTCTGAGCATAACAGCTTAATTCTGATAATCAGACAGATTTGTACAGTTTCTTCTTAATCTAAGAAACTGTCCTTTTGGGATATTGCTTAGCCACGTAGGGTGGTGGCAGCTATCCGTGGGTATAAAACCATTCCTGTCTGTACTTTTAAAATAGGTTTTCATTAAAATGCTATTACCATTATTGATTAAAACCAGGTCCAAAAAGTTGATTTCCTTAAAATCATATTCATAAGACAACTTGATATTATATGGCGAAGTTGAGTAGATCTAAAATAAACTTTTTTTGACGCCTGGGTATATCCAATGTGGTGTCAAAGTAAAATTGAACTGCTTCAAAACCATCATTATGCTTAATATTACTATACAAAGCTGAAACGTAACCAAATATGTTTTGTCATTAACCTTAAAATCCTTTAAATCCATTAATATTTGCTTGGTATCTCGCAAATAGGCAGGTGTAGTTCTAACCAAAGGTTGTAAATAAAAATCTATATATTCACCGATACGGGAGTTAAGTGACCCAATGCCACTGATGATGGGTCTCCCTGGGGGACAAACAGGGTTTTTATGAATCTTAGGGAGACAATATAGCACTGGAAGTCGGGGAGCTGTCGGACATAAATACATTCTTTCTTTTTTAGTAATTGCCCCATCCTCAAACCCTTGTTGAATGATCCTTTTGAGTTCCTTCTTATAAGTGATTAGTGGGTTCTTAGGAAGCGGTTGGTAGGTTTCCCGGTCATCAAGTAATTTAAAAACTTGGGTCATATAAACTTTTTTTGTCCATAATAACAACCCCACCCCCCTTATCGGCCGGTCGAATAACTAAATCTTTATTGGTCAGCAAAGACTTAATACTGGTGTTGACCTTATGTTGATTATATAGATTTCTTACCTTGATCTTATCCAAATCTTTTAAAACCATACTCTTAAAAGTGTTAATATGCGAGTGCACAGGTGGATTAAAAAGGGAGGAATTTTTTAAATAAGAAGGTCTAAAATCACCATATGTATTAGTCATTAAATCTCGTGTAGGAGGCGTAGATAAAAAATACCTTTTTTAAGGATAACCTGCGGGTATACTTGTGAACATCAATATAGGTATGAAATTTATCCAATTTTTTCTTTGGTGCAAATTTCAGTCCCTTATTTAATAAATTGAGTTCATCATCTGTGAGGGTCGTTTTGCTCAAATTGAATATGCCATCTATTGTTATGTTTTTCTCTTTTTTGGGGGCTATTGACCCTCTTTCCTCCTCGCTTTCCTCTGTACGGGCACTTCTTTTTCTGGTCGAGTTTACCCCTAAAAAATGATTAGATTGGGGGTTAGGAGAAGCTCGGTGGCAAGTTAGAACGATAGCTAGGGTTGCGAGGCCTTTGGTTATTCCTTGGATGGTATGATGAATGGTATGAATTCTGATTTCCATGATTAAATTGTCTAGTGTTGGGTGGACGGGTAGTTTGGTTATGAGGACCATATTGACCCCTACGCCCCGGGGATCTCCAATGGGGTTGGTTAACACCATTGTTATTGTAATTTTATATTACCATATGATAATGTATTGTTACTTTGCATTTTGGGTTCACATGTTTTAATATCAACATTTGTGGGGCTTTGTTTTTTATATTTTATATTTATTAATTAATCGGATCTTTTAAATTGGCAGCTTTTCTACTATGTATGGTGAAAAGAATGCCTTTATATGCTGTCCAACTGAGGTTTGATTTCCATCTCCTCAGAACAGGGACTACAACAAAATGGAGTCTGCATTTCCATATTAGAGACATGATTGTGCATAATGTTAACATGCCCCGTTTTCCTTTATTAATTTGGTCACAGGATTTTGGCAGTTCCTTTAACTCCTTTTTCTTTAAACAAATGTTGCTATTTGTTTTCTTTAAGACATGTCACTGTTAATACAGAGACATGTCATCACCCTGTATTCCTCGTCTGCCCGCGCATGCGCACTGGCATACGGGGGGCATGGTGTTGTGGGTGCCGCGGACTGCATCATTCGCAAATGCGCCCGTCGCCCGTGGCGGCGCGTGGAGGCTTCTGGGCATGCGTGGCCATATCTGTTTAGCTGGCGTCCTTTTGATGGATTTCACCCCTTTGAAAATGTGCTGGTTGCACAAAACATGTCACAGGAATCCATCAGATTGACGCCTTAAGCCACCATTGAGCCTGTGAGGAAGGCCTGGTGGCCATGTGATGCTTCATGTGAATTCTATCATTGTTTATCTGGATCTTCTTTGTATTAATAAAAAACATACTACACTATCAGCACTATTTTGCCCCCTGGCTCGTTCTTTGCGAGCCTCACAAGGTGGAGCCTTCTGGAAAGTGCAATTAGGAATCTGGACTGCATTGGATGTACCGGTGAGCCTGAGGTGACCCTCGAGTGTGTGTCATTCCATTCTTGAGTGTCTACCATAGTGCAGGATGCCATCGTAACTACTGACCAGACCTAGATGCCGCCACGGATATGCTATACAGTACATATAATTCCCTAATTATATGTACTTCTGGTAAGTGCATTATTGTACCAGATTTTAAACCAGTGAGTTGAAGTCACGGAACACCGAGCACTATTTTGTTCTATCCAGTTATACTGACTCATCACCATTGTCACTTTTTTGGAATAACATCTTATTAGCAGCAGTTGCTATAACGTGGACATTATCACGTCACTTTGGCACCTTTTATGGTGATCACATTTGTTCACATAAATCAGAGTTTACGAGCCATACTGGTTTACCACCTTTTCCGAGAGCTGCATATTTGATTTATGATTGGTTACTGAGGTGTTGAGGATTGTCTTTTTATGCTAGCTGCTCCCTATTACACTTCCAGGTTGCGCTCACTTATCTGTTTGATATATACTCTTTGCCGACACAATTTTAACATTTTGTTTACTATGTGTTCTATAAATGTCAGCTCTAAGATACAAGTTCTGTGGATTTAATCCACCGCAGTATCCTTATTTTACTATTACCAATCATAATATTTTCAAAAAATC